ATAAAGACTTAAAATTTTCATAATTTCATAGCCGCATCAAAATATAATATATAATATAATTATAAATACATATGGAGTAAAGGATAAAACTAGATTTGTTCTTCTAATTAATCAATAGCCACCATTAACTGAGGTGGAAAGGTGATTAACAACTCTTCCAATTTGTCAAAAAGCATAATAATCCTTAGATTGGAATTTTGCGTGCAACCTTTTGGGAAAAAATAATTATTTTATGAATTATTATACCAAAAATAATTTTTAGCCATAGTTAATTCACAGCATTATATAGTTTAATTATTGTTAAATATCTATATTTAATGGTTTTAAAGCCTATAGCGATATTGGATCTGATGACAATAACTAATGTCAATAAAGATTTTATCACTTCTGTTAATGTGTAGTAACTATTTTTGCTATAGTCATGTACTTTTGTCAAGATTGTGAATCTATCATTTATTTTTTATTTTATTTATGCGGATGATAATTTTTGAGAAAACAAATGTGAAATAGAATGGGAAAATGTACAATTTAGAGAAATATAGTTATTTTTTTTTATAATTTATAAGTCACGAGTTTGAGCAACGAAAAAAATAATTAATGCATGTATTAACGCAGATCTTTGACGTCACAACCTTTTGGTGGCGGGCCTTCACCCTTAATTTTTTTACTTGATTTGTAGTATTTTCAAACTTAATAAACGTTTGACTTTATATTTTAAAATTTGAATAATATTCATGTTTAAATGTACTCAAGCTAGCGAGGTTGCTTTTGTATTTCCTTGAGAGTTGAGACTTGAGACGTCGTCAACAATATGCTTTCACGCAATGTACCATTGCAACTTGCAACTTTGCGCATACTTATATAAACATTTTATTTATTTATTTATTTAATGCTACGAGGAAATGATAATTCTCTTCATTAGAATTTTAAAATTTAAGCTTTGAATATAAAAAAAAATTAAAAAGATTTTTTCTGAATAAGGCCCTATACTGTACGAATTTGGAATAATTGATCTTTGATTTTTATATCGATATAAAACACTAAATTATTTTTTTTAAAAAAGTTAAAAAAAAATACATAAACTTCAAATTGGTGTTTATTATAATATAAATAAATAGTTCTTTTGATTGGATAGAAATGCCAACACTTCTTCTCGCCCTTTAAGTCATTTGGAAAAAGCCAAATTAGAATATATGAATTTTTTTGTTCATACGTAGTTTCATATCAATCCAATATATATACAATATATTTAATTGTTTTTACTTAATCATGATAAACTAATACTCTTAACTCCTAAGCACTATTATTTAACGTAAAAATTGATATAGATATTTTTTTTTGTCCAAACATATAGTCTAAAGTCTTCTTTTCCTTTTTAAAATTTTTCTGAGCGGACATGAATTGAACTTTGAAGCATTTTTAATAACTTACATGTCCACCAGTAGAGAGGAGCACGATAAACAATTTAAACTCGATACTTTTTCTTTTATAACTTTATACGTTTTTTAAAAAATCATAAATAAAAGAGTAAGTTTATTCGTCAATAATTAAATATATATAAAAAAATTTATTTTTTAAAATTTATAATCATATTATAATACATACAACTTTATTGACTATTTTGACAAAAAACGTAAAAATGCAAAAAAAAAAACACTTTAAATATATGCAAATAGTTATTTCTAATGCAATTCTTGGGTAAGAAATATTCAATTTATGATGGCAAATTCACAATGACAGACACTATACAGCTCATCCCATGAAACTTTGGTCTTACATTTTGTTTTCTATTTTATAAATATTTATTATAATGTCTATCGTTAAGCTATTATATTTTGGGTCAAAGTAAACCGCCAATAGCTTCCCTTGTTTATCGTGATTTTAATTTTTAATTGATACCATAAGTATCATAAGAAAAAGAAAAATTGTTTTTTTCCTTACCACTATCATTTTAGAACATATAATAATTAATTATTATTATTCAAATTGAAAAGATCAAAGCAATAGAACATGGCTATTGCAAGATCTGTTAGATTAACAAAGTTTAGTAGTCATTATTTGAAATTAATAATAAATTGATACCTAAAGTTAGCATCAACTATAAGATATATATTTTAATTACGTTATACAATTTTCTATAACTTATACAAATTTAACATGAAAACCAAATGTTATATAAGTAACTAGCGTAAAAAAAAGTTATATGACAATTTATATTTAATTTTATATCAAATATAAGATAGGTGTTGTGTATGTTAACGTGATAATGAGGACATTTGAAAATAAAAATGCACGCACATTTAATACCCTAAATAACAATTTGAGCACAATTCATTTTTTTATTATAATTAAATTTTATTTTTATATAATTATTTTATCTATTAAATAAGTTATATATTACGGTTCCTTTATAACTAACTTAATGAATTCTTTTTGCTTTGGTCAAACTTCTAAATTTTGTTTTAGGCAAAGTATTTTTCCAAAAAAATCGTAATTAAGAGTTCTTTTCCTTCTCTTTGGTTATTTTTGTGACTCAAACTAACAACCTACATATTGAAAGTAAAGGGTATTTATTATTCGAGCAACTCTCTCTCATCTAATAATAATTAAGAGTAGTATTTTTATGTTTTGCTAATTAATTTGACAAATATTTTTATTAATATTAGAACAGTAGTTTATGCTTGAGTTTTAATTAATACTCCAAAAATGCTTATGAAAAGAGTTGAAAACAATTTATAGCTTAAAATATTTTAGTTTTTTCCTAATTTTCTTGTCAAAGCTCAATTTTCTTTTTTAAGGGGAAAAATACACTTTTGACTTCCAAATAAATCACCAAACATATATTAAAAACAATTAGTGATACAAAAAAAAAATTATCACATATCTCACTCAATTGACATTCTTTTTATCTCACAAAAAATGGAATCTAAATTTGATGTTTTTGAGTTCATATTATGAAAGAAAATTGACTCTTCATTGTACTATTATGAAGTACTTTTTCTTTAATCGTATATATTAATATCAAATACTACTAATTGATCCCTAATCTTGAATTAGCCTTCAAATAGAAAGATAATCTTTTATATAATTTTGACACTATCACCATCCAAAAGAAAATATTTGGATAATAACCTACTCTTTAAACTTTTTGAGATAACTACAAACTTAATTAGTACTAATGTAGAAACCAAACTTAATTATTACTATTTAAAAACTATTTTTTATTGATTTTTGGTGCACAATGTTAAAAACTAATCCCCCAGCTCAAAATTAAGGTGATACTCATTTCTTTTAAATCAATTTTAAAAAAGAATGTCTATCTTTCATATTTTTTTTTCTTTTTTGATTGAAAAGAGAATTTTGATATAATTATCAATTTTGCTATTATGAGTTATACATCTTTTGTTATAAAAGTTATTTATATATTTTTTTCGTTATAAAAACAACTTGTGTATTACTCTATTATTATAAATATTTTACATATATCTTCTTCTTCTTTTTTGGTTATGATAGAAGTGAAAAAAGTATTATCCATGCAAGAATATATCTGATCATTCTCACAAGTATTGTTTTTGATTTCTTTAATTCAATGTTTAGTTTATTATAATTTTGGTGATTAAGTGAGAAAGGGGTGACTATCATACGAAATTGAAACTAGTAAAGTAAGATGTCGGAACTCTTGCTTTTGTCTTGTCTTTACTCTTCTTCCCCCCATCCTCTCGTCGCCTGTCCGCTCATGATAATTTATATTTTTCTTATTTTATTATAAATACTCTCAAAATATTTCACAAATACAAAAATTAAATTGAAATATAGCTCAAAAATACCTTTTCATTCCTTATAATTTAAAGCTACTTTAAATTCAGATAATTCAACATACTCATAATACTTGACAATGAAGTTTCGTAATAGAATATAACCAAATACCTATTTTTATAAAAAAAATCAACTCCAACACTTAAAAAAGTAATTTTCATTACTTAATACTTTAAAACTACTTAAATTCATACAATCCAAATAAACTCATATATTTGACTTTGTTAAGTACATAATTAAATACTTATACTAATTTTGGCAAATTGCGTTTATAATATTATGCCAAAGTAATTTTCATTACTTATACTTAAAAACTACTTAAATTCATACAATCCAAATAAACTCATATATTTGACTTTGTTAAATACTTATACTAATTTTGGCAAATTGTGTTTAAAATAGGGAAAATTGTATATAATAGCAAACTAATAACCTAAAATAAATGGAATAGCTAGGGTTTGATTTAGTTGTGCTCCATAGCAAACGTTATCTAAAATTTGCCAGCGTCTCTCTCCCAGAAATCTCGCTCGCCACTCTCCATTCTCGCTCGCCTCTCTCGCTTTATACACAGAAGTGTATAATTCTATTTCTGTTTTGTATAAAGCGAGAGAAAATTGTATATACACATGCAAAAATATATATCTTCGTGTTATACACTTAATTATATAATTTACAAACATTTTACTTCAAATATTGTAGAGAAAAAGGCCAATAAATTATACAATTGCAGTGAAATACAATTTTCTCTAGCTTTATACAACAGAAGTGTATATATTGTGTTTCTGTTTTTGTATAAAGCGAGAAAAACATATATCTTCTTGCTATACACTTATAATTATGCAATATACATACATTTTAATTCGATTCAACTGTATGCTAAGCAAATTATACAATTGCAGCGAAATAGGCCAGCGAATTATACAATTTAGGCCAGCAAATTATACAGTTTTATGTTTGCTATGGAGCGCAATTATGCAAATTTTGTTATATCATACAAATATAAATTTTTTGTTTGCTATGTGTAAAAGTTACCCTTTAAAATATTATGCCAAATTTAAATAGAAACTCCACCTTGAATAAGCCCACAAATTCCACCAACCCATATATATATAAATACCATAATATTTAACAAAATTTTCCCATTTTCGAAAATCTTTTTCTCTTTATCCGTGAATTTCTCTGATTTTTTTTTTTCAAATTAATTAATTTGTGATCATCACAATTGTCATGTGTAAGTGATTCCGCCATTAAAGGATACAGATATAGTCAGTGTTTCCGCCATTAAAGTAGATAAACAGTGAGGAAAAACAAACGGAGATTTTTCAGTATTTTTTTTTTCACTATTAAGTGCTCGCAGTTTGTTTGTTTGTTTTTTGGGAAAATTCTCAGATTTGGAACAATTTTTTGAATTTTGGAAATGAAGTTTTGTAAGAAATATGAGGAGTATATGGAAGGGCAATGCCGGAATAAGAAGTTGCCGCGGGTAGGTTTGAAGAAATTGAAGAAAATTTTGAAGAGATGTCGAAAATGTCATCAATCACGAAGTGTTGTTGGTCTGTCTGGAGATAACAATATTGTTCATGATAGCTCCAGTTGCTCGCAGCATCAATGCTCTGGTTTGTTTGATCTGTTGAATTATACTGTGATTGATTAAATTTATGTTGAATTATACTGTGATTGATTAAATTTATGTTGAATTATACTGTGATTGATTAAATTGATGTAAACCTGTGCTTGATTTTGGATGATTTTGTATAGAGTAGTTGAATTTTGTTAAGAATCACGAGTTTTTAGGTCTAAATCACAGTAGAGTAGCTGATTTCGCCATAGTTTTAATGGACAGAGTTATCTAGTATATCTAGTGGGAGGTGGCAACTATCGTGTGAATTAGTCTGGCAAAGTGGTTAAATTTGGTTAAGAATTATTAGGTATCGTGTTCAAATTTAAGCATAGACGAAAACATAGAGTTAATTGCTATTTGTGGTGGGTGAGGTGGAAGGTATTCTATGGAATTAGTGGAAAAAAGAAAAAAGAATAGCTTGAATTTGGTGTAAAAAGAAAAAAGTAAATTAGTTTGCCCCTTTTTGAGTTTTTTGACAATTCATGCACTAAGACAACTTTAATACTGGTAAGTGCATAAATTTTTTGTTTGCTTGTACATGTTTATCTGTTGAGATAAAATTGATTCATTTCTGATGACTACGTTTGTTGTTTTAGTTTTATCTATTGTTGCTTATTCAAATGATTTTGTATAGGGTAGCTTAAAGTTGGCAATCCAGAAAAAGGGGTAAATGAATTTGCTACCTTTTGTGTTTTTTATAATAGTTGCACTAGAACGATACTCGGATTAACTTCATACAGGGTAGCTTGATTTTGGTGAAAAAGAAGCAAAGATATTCCCAAGCTTCTGAAGTTTTTTTACAATTTATGCACCAGAACAATGTTAAAGCTTGTAAAATCTGAAACTGTCTTTATATTTGTTAATATATTTCATATCAGTCATCACTTAAAGCTTCTAATAAATTTTCCTGCCTTATGTAGTTTGTGATGGAAGTTTTTTTCCATCTCTCCTTAAGGAGATGTCTGAAGTGGTTGGCAGCTTCAATAAACGTGCGCAGAAATTGCTTGAACTGCATCTCTCATCAGGTTTCCGCAAATATCTTATCTTGCTCAAAGAAAAAATTCAAGGAAACCATATTGCTTTAGTTCAAGAAGGAAAAGATCTAGTCACCTATGCTATAATCAACGCAATTGCCGTGCGTAAAATACTTAAGAAATATGACAAGGTATTTCCCTTTTGGATTATTAATTCAACATATTAACTTAGTTTTGCTTCATTTATTAACTACTCCTGTCTATCTGTAGATTCACTATTCTAAGCAAGGCCAGGCATTCAAGTCACAAGCTCAAAGTATGCACATTGAGATCCTTCAGTCCCCCTGGCTGTGTGAACTTATGGCTTTTCACATCAATTTGAGAGAAAATAAGGCCAAAAATGGGAAGGCTCTTGCACTTTTTGATGGTTGCTCCCTGGTGTTCAAAGAAGGGAAACCATCCCTCACTTGTGAGCTCTTTGATTCTATCAAGCTTGATATTGATTTGACCTGTTCTATTTGCTTGGTACGTGATCTCTCTTTCTCCATATCTCGTCTTTAATGTTATCAGCCAAGTATTACTCCCATCACCAGCACCGGGGAAAAAATCCCTATAAATTGAGTATCACATTCAAAATTTGGCTTGAACACAATACTGTAGAAGGCGTTTAAGACACGTCTCTTTTGCTTTAATAAAGAGAAATCATCTTACTGTTGCTGAACAATTAGAAACCTTTGCATACGGAAGCATCAGACTTCAAATTTATTGAATCGAAACCTTTGCATATGATGTCAATATAGTATGAAACTCTGTTATTTTGTGTTAGCTGGTTCTTAGCAACAGTGACAAATGGTTCTTGTCTAGTCTGTAATCAATTTATCCGCACTTGGACCAAGTGATAAGTTGGTTACAACTTGTAATCTAAGAGCCAGTCAAAGTAATCATTTGAAGTTGCATGCATTTAAATGATCTCCTTGTTCAGATAGAGATACATTATTCTTTGGCTCTTAAACTTTTCATAGGTTGCAACCTCCAATCACACAGTAGTTGTTTGGTTATCATGTTGGGTACTTGGGCATTGTATCCCCCAGAATTGGGATATCATCCAAGTATTACGAACTGGATTACGGTCTTTTTATCTCATGTCGAGTACACTAGATAAATAATAGGATAGCCACCTACTAATCCAATCTATTGGAGTCCAAAATTTATGCTCAATTTTGAGCAAGTATGATTAAAGTTTGGTTATTTCGGATTTTTGATTGTGAGCCTGTAAGTTGAGTGTCTTTTTCCTACAAAAATGAACATCCTAATGAAGTATTCATATCAAATTACCTAAATAATTTATCATTCCCCCACAATCATCCAATTAAAATGTTCATTCGAGCAATAAAATCTTTATCTAGGAAATTCTAATCTAAAAGTAAAATCATGTCTCAAATGAGATGTGAAACACACAGTGCCATGTCAGCATCATGTATCTAATGAGTACATATTTAATTAACATTAGGTTTTTAATAGGTACAACCCTTGATTTAGTTGTTGAAATGAATCCGGACAAGCTTCCATATGTATTTGGTTAGCCAAATAAGAATATCAGCACTTTACTTATTACTCCCTCTGTCCCGATTTCTGTCACTCTTTCTTCTTTGAAGCCAGTCCCGAAATGCATGATATGACTTGTTTTAGATCACAAATGAACTTAAAAAAATTCATTTTACTTCAACGAGATGATTTATAGCCAAACAAATATGTAAGACTTTTTTTTTATCACAAATGATCATTCTTTAAACTTTGTGCTGTAAATACATCTCTTGTTTTGACTTAAAATTATGTTGCATGTCACCAGTTGTTAGTGTAGCTTAGCTGAAAGATTGTTACCTCTGTAAGTTTCAGCATATCACTTGCTCTTCAAATAAACATGTTATTGCCTTATATCCTAGCAGTCCATGCGGAAACTTCCCATTTTAGATTTATTTTTTGTCATCCATTTAGCATGCTGGATATATAAAGCGGAAACTAACAGTGCTGTAAATACATCTATTTATGCAGGATACCGTATTTGACCCAGTATCTCTCACTTGTGGTCATATATTCTGCTATATCTGTGCTTGCAAAGTTGCATCAGTGACCATAGTTGATGGACTGCAAGCGGCAAATCACAAGGAAAAATGCCCTCTCTGCCGAGAGGTTAGCTAAATTTTTTGGTATTTAATCAGTGGCTCGAACATGTAGCATAGTTTCATGCTTGTGAGTAATATGTTAGAAGCACCAGTTTTCTTGACCACTGAATACCAAATTACCAATGTTTAACTGAGTGATATTTCACGTCAGAGAGGATAAACAAGAACAAGTTACTTAGATCAAACGATTCCTCTGGAATTGTTTCCTCTTTTAACAATATATAGCAGATTTCCTGCCTCGGTCACTGAAACAAGTAAAAGTCAAACATGTTTCTAACTCATGAGGAATATGAAGATGTGCCTGCTTGCAAAAGAATACCGTTCTTAAGAAATTTTGGAACATTATTTTAGTAATCGACATAAGTTGGAAAGAAATTAACATTCAATAGTATATGTTCGTTTATGGTTGATCTCTCTGTTTTCTAGCTTATCTGCAAAGACTATTCTTCTGCAATTGTGATTTACTTGTGCTAGTATTATGTAACCTTCATCTCATATATTTTTGTTGTGTGATTCAGGAAGGAGTGTATGAAAGTGCTGTGCATCTGGAAGAGCTTAACATTCTACTGAGTAGAAGGTGTTCTTTCTTCTGTAGTAGTTTATACGTTTTCCGCTCTTGTTGCTTCTGGTTGTTCTAATTCACTTCCACATTTTTTTGAACAGTTGCCCCGAGTACTGGAAAGAGCGCCTTCAGACCGAGAGAGTAGAGAGACTTAGGCTTGCTAAGGAGCACTGGGAATCTCAGTGTCGGGCATTTATGGGCGTCTGAACGATAATAGTAGTCTCATGGTGACTCTAGAATTAAGAGCAGCATTTGTTTCTCCTGCATTTTCTTTTATGTTGCTAGGATCCTTCAAAATGTTGTTGTACCTATTTCGAATCCTCCAAAAATATTGCATTTTTAGAGCAATATTTATGGAGTATCCGAAATGAGTGTGGTTCCCTTTTTGAGGAATTCGAGAAGAACATATATCTTTTTTTTTACATTTCTTTATGGTTCTACTGTTCATGCTCTGAACATGTGCTAGAACCTGTAAATAATTGCATAATGTTGTGTTTTTTGAGTTGAAGCACGCCAGCTTGCTGCACTGGTTGGGTGTAAGTGACTTAAGCCTTTAATTTTAGAAGAACATTTTTGTTGTGGAACTCAAGTTACTCCCTCCTTGTCAATTTTATCTAATATTTATTGTTCGTTCAAAAAGAAAGTCATATTTCTATTCAGTAATGATATTGTAGTCACACAAATATTTAAGATATTTTAAAGCTTGGATCTCCATACCTTTTATGCTCCTGCTTTGGGTCTTTATTATTAGCTCATCATTTAGTTTCAACTAAGATTCCATTAGTTTTTGTTTGCTTAATCATTTTCTTGATTCGCACTGGGGCTCATGAAACGCTTCTTATTGATAGAACTTGTAGAGGCTCCAACTTTTTCCAGTTCATTTTAGTCATCGTGCTTATATATTAAAAATAAACGGTCAAAAATGATTGTCATTTTAAGAAAATTAAGATATACTAATTAACTATTAATTTCCCCCAATAAATGCGGTGAAAAGGAGAGTAATGTTATAAATAATACACAGCCATCATCCGATTTCTATCTCATTTTACAATGAAATCACAAGATTCAACCGCAGAAAGGGAAAATAAGCTTAAATACTGCATCGGGGGCGCTCACTTCATTTCCGTCACTTCTGTAAATGCAGCTCTAACACAAGAACTCGGTTGTGCAAAGATTGGCTAACAATGCAAACCAACCGCCAGGTCTTCCATTCAAAACTTATAAATCAAAAAGCGAAGAGAAAAGAAAAAGGAAAGTGCTACCAGATCAGCCCTGATGAATGAGTGACCCTACCGAGTCTTCGGTCTAGCTAGAATCATATTGTCATGTGAATTATCCCGGATTGTGTTTTAAGTGCCAACAAGTAATGGATTTTTATCCTTGTACATCTGATATCTTTTGCAGAGTTTCTCTAATGTTGCTACAGAATGCTGCATCTTATTGAGTTTTGTGTCCATGAACATGCTCTGCACAGAGGGAGAAAAAACAGTCCCCAGTGAGAAAAAAAAACAGAGCAAATACATGCCAAGTGATTTTGTAAATCTCCCAATATTACCTGATAATCATCTCCATACTCCTCCACAAGCCTGCTAATATAAACTCGTTGTATGGTAGTCAGTGGTTGCAGAGGGGCACTTTTTCCATCCCTTCGTTTCTTCCCAAGTGCTGACTTAAGATCTATATTTCAAGAAACAAAATATTGCATTTTAATATTATGGAGTACGACTGCACGAATGATATGATAAACAGAAACACAAGGATGAGCCTCTTATTAAACTTAAATTGTCTTCACAACTAAATAATAAAAATATAAACAGGTAATGCTTCACCAATTATATCATTCATCATGCCCGTATGCAGCTGGAAGAGTAAAACAAGAATCTAGACATTTATCTTAATCCTGCAAATGTAATTTGTTGTTCATCCTAAAAGAATATTTAACTGGCATTTCCATGTGCAGCCTCTTGCAATATCTCTCTCTCTTCTGCTCTCATGGATGAACTCTTTACTAACCTAATTGGAAGCTTCTTCACCATGACACAAAAATTGTGCATAGTGCTTTTAGTTTCCAATAGGATACTGCCAAGTATGGAAGTTTTCCAGACACAATGTAAAGGTTCCATAGCAGAAGGCTACAAAAAAAAATCTTCAAAGAGAGGAGGAAAAAACGACCTAAAGGTATTTTTCTTTAGCAGAGGCTAGCGCTCCCCTTCATTATAGTAGTATTGTTCTTTCTGGTGATACAAGTTATAAAGTTTTGAAGCAAAAAGGTACAGAACATATGCATTTCATATTATAATATACCCATCCACTATGGTAACCCACCACTCAGAAATCTCCAACGAACTCAACAACCAAGCCAAAGATATTTATATCAGAACCCAGATAGTATATCTTATCAGAGCTCTTAATACATCAATAAACAGTGTCAAAATTTATGCACTTATATACCAAACAATATTAGCATTATAACAATAACTCAGTCTAATCTTAATCAAGCTACATCATAGAACTTATAGCTCAGCACAAAATAGCAACACCAACCAGCAGGGATTCATGCTTTATTATCGTTACACTTGCATCATTCGGAAACAGCTGGTAAGGTCTGCACAAGCTCTACCCTCCCAAGACCTCATTTAGTGGGACTACACTGGGTATGTTGTTGTTGTATAGTTACACATATATTAGGTCAGTGTTAAGAGCATCTAGTTATAGCAAACCCTCAATTTACCTCAAAAGACTAAATTTTTAGCAATAATATTAATGAAAATGGAGCAAAATAAATATGAAGTCTGAGATTGAGTCGGCATAGTTAATCAAAACAATTGAATTCCTACAGTGAACAGCAACTAAAAGTACTGCAAAACAGACTCACCGTCTTCCTCAACGTCACTGCCAGAATCATCCAAATCCTCAAACGCATCGGCATCATCATCATCATCCTCAGAGGTAGGTGGCAGCTTCTTCGGCGGCGGAACTTGAAGAGAGTCAGTTTCAATCATATGAGAGGTCCGGCAACGAACACCAAGCAAATTAGGGTTCGAAACGACGCCGAATGACTTGTAATTATCGATTACGCTGCCTTTATCATCCCAATGAGAGTTGACCAGTGACCGGAGCTTCGGTGGAAGAGAAAACGCCGGTTTGAACACATTAGGGTTCTTCTTCGGCAGACCCACTCTCACTTTTGTTCTTGATCTCTTGTACTTCCGCCGTGATCCACCCATCTCTGTGTGAAAGAGGGGCTAGGGTTTAAGGGGATTGTGCTTTGATAAACCCTATCGATGGTTTTGACAAGTCTAATTTATAAATTTTCAAAATAAATATATAAGTGAGGATTTTTTTTTCTTTTCGAGTCTCATACTTTTAACTATCAAATGTATAATAATTATTTAAATCTATGTGAACGAAGGTGATACTTTAAGGAGATAAAAAGAATAACAGATAATTTAGTGTGTTTTTGATAATTGATTGGTGATAGTTTAGATAGAAAATTCACACACCTGATTGTTTTTAGAGGAAAAATTACATAAATTAATACATTTTAAAAAATAATTATTGATTTTAGCGATATTTTTTGTTTATTACCATTTATAGCAATACTGTGATAAATCTGTGATATGTATTAAAAGTGAACTATGTATGCAATATATTTGAATTATAATTGTTTTTTAAATATATTATGTTTGTTTGGTAAAAAATTATCACATTGTATTATAAGCGTATTAAAATGTGTGATAAATGTATTATCCATCATTAGAACTTGTATTATATGTGAATAATAAATTGTTCTTTGTAATATGTATTAAACTTGTATTATAAATGAATTAAAAGTGGTCAAGTGAAAAAAAAATGTTATTGCTATAAATGATAAATATTTTTTTATTATAATATATTTATGTAAGTTTCCCTATAATATAAAACTCGAAAAAACTAAATATTTTACATTTTTTTTTTTATCATTGGCTCTTTTATTTTACACTCGTAAGGATGGTTGAGTTAGTGCATTAGGTGATATCTCACAAAAAGAATCTAAGGATCGATGATTCGTATTAAGAGCTTTTACTCGATTATAGTTTGTTTTAATTGAGCATTTAAACTTCTAAAGTGTTTTTACAACACATTTACATTGATAAGTCAACCATACACCTTATACCACCTACTTTAGTTATACTTTTTACCTTTAATTGAAACTAAACTTTAGGTTTACACCTTACTGAGACAAATGAGTGAAGATTAATTTATTTACATAATGAACGCTTGAAAACACACATAAAAACTTCTCCAAAATTTGAACGCGTGAGACCTATTTTTCGTCTTACTTTTCACTTTTAAAGTTATCTCTAATACATTCAAACATAAACATTATTTCAAATATTCTTTACAAAAAGTATAACCAAACACAAGTCCATCTGAATCTCAAACCGCTTGAGGATTGGAAGAGAAATAATCAGCCTAGATAAAATAACCTTGTTTTTTTTATTAATGGAAACAGCAACTACTATTGTTTTAATGGCAATATTGTTACTACAACTCAACAAAATTTACAAAATAGACTAGTGGGAGATGATACTATTTGTAAATATTTGGATAGGTATTTTGCAAATTACAAAGCAAAACACCAAGAAAAGCCAAAATGGTGTGTGGTTAGAGCTCAGATGATCTGTTGGCATATTCTTGAACCAAAGCCCCAAAAAGTGAAGGCCTTTCCAGCAAATGAGATGGTTTGTCAAACTCTTTTGCTATTCCTGCATGAAAATAAGTTGTTTGGGGTTAAGAAAAGAATTTAAGTTCTATACACGGACAACACCGAAAAAGAAAAGACAGATAACAGGCTATAGTAGGTTAAATCACTGCATCAAAGGGTCGTTTGATAGCTTGTAAGAGTACTGCAGGTATTAACAATGCAAGGAGTAGTTTATGAGGGAAACCATGTATTATTAGTTATGTTGGTTTGTATATTGCAAACCAATCACTGTGTTAGTTTTATACATAAATAACTTACTTTCAAACCACTCGCTAAACATGCTATTACTTATGTAGGATTTAATTCCTTCATAACTCGCTCCGAACTATCCACCAAACGGTCCCCTATGGTTGTGTGTGCTATGAAGTTAAATGTTCCCCATGAAAACATATTTCCTAGAGAACAAGTGGTTTTCTCATCTTTTAGTGTTTGGTAAGTAAGCAAAAGAAGGCAGAATGAAGATGGTGCGGGGAAGGGAGGTCGGGGATAGGGGGCGTGAAGGAGACGATCAGCATAATATGTTACAGTAGCATAAGCCTCTAGTTTGATGTTGTATGAAACTCACAAAATTAGGCAAAGGGAAAGTTCAAACCAAATAGGCCAAGAACTTACTGACTATGCTATATTTGAAATGTTCATCACATAAAGATAAAATAATCATTTACCAGATTCAAAATACGGTACAAAGTAAGAGGAGAGAAATCCGAACCTGCATCTACAACAAGAACTCTATCACAGTCCATGACTGTTGGTATTCTGTGGGCAATGCTGATTATAGTACAGGCGTTGAAGTCCTCGCGGATGATTTTCTGAATCACAGCATCTGTCTGTGAATCAACAGAGGCGGTTGCCTCGTCCATAAATAGAAGTCTGCTTCGTTTTAGCATCACTCTTCCTAAGCAAAGAAGCTGCCTCTGCCCAACACTCCAGTTGTCTCCATTATCAACAACTATAATTCCCCAATAACAGTATTCACTTATGAGTATACATATAATCAATGAGCATCAAAGTTGGTTGTGCAATTCGGCAGGGAATCACAACGACGACATAGAGGAGGGAAAGTTACCTGGTGAGTCAAGCTTTTCGGGTTTTGAAGACACCACTTCTTTCAGTTGGCAGCGATCGAGGCTCTACAATGAACAAGATTTCATGTTAAGAGGAATTCCTAGAAGATAACAAAGTATTTGCTTTTTTCTCATTAACAACTAGTATGTTGCTCTTACAGAAATATAATCCAAAGTCTCAGCAGTCTAGACATGCTTTGGCTAATGGCTAATTTTACGTTATCATTTGAGGTAGTTCGTAAACTATTTCGCTCAGCAAGTTAAATTACCTTCCAAATTTCATCATCTGAATATTGTCCAATGGGGTCAATGTTGCTTCTCACAGTTCCTTCAAAAAGAACTGGTTCTTGAGGAATGATCCCAAAGCGAGATCTAAGATCATGAAGCCCGAGCCTGGATATGTCAATGCCGTCAATGACTATTCTTCCAGCTGCAGGCTCCACCAAACGGAAGAAAACTTGAATAAGTGTTGATTTTCCACCTCCAGTACGACCAACAACACCGATCTTCTCTCCCCCTCTAATGTTGAGAGTAATTCCTTTAAGCACTAGAGGAGTATTTGGACGATACCTAACCTGTTCACCAGCAGAAAAAAAATAGAGAGATTCAATGTAACATATTTGAAAGTTAAGAATTTGTAGGCTAGTGAATATCAGTTGGAATTATTACTTGTAAGTCTTCAAGCTCAACATTGCCATGGTTCGGCCAATCTGAAGGTGGGACAAAATCCCTTTTTCGCCACTCAGCTTCTGATGGTATGCATGAGAACTGTTTTAATCTTTCAACAGAAACCATTTTGTTTTCCACGAAGCAACTCACAAAGACGGACCAGAATAGCACACTGTTAAGGGACAAACCATATGATAACGATAAGCCAACATTCTCTGCAAAAAGAAAAAGAAGTATATTAGTTTACTTCAGCTCCAGGTAAAACACAGAGATAAGTACAACAAAAACTGAAGGAAAGAATAGATGAAGCTAGAATCATGTTGGTCCACTGGCCTTCCTTGTCCAAATTAGAAGTTTCTTGTACTCTTGGTTGACAATTTTTTACTTTTTGTAGTACAGATGAATGCATGACTAAATGTTTGTCCATTTGTATGGAATATCCTCTGATAGCTAAGATAGAAAAAATTACTATGACCATTAAATTCAGTCTCATCATAGAATTATTTAAAGGTACATCACTTGGATTCCCCGACTACATATCCTTCAGCAACTCCACGTTCTCTTAAGGATAATGCATTACTTCACACAAGAAGGAAAAGATCTCTAGATAAAGTTGTTCAAGACAAGTGATTCCCATAGATTGGGTAACAGTGGCCTTTTTCTATATTTATAGGTGAGGTGAAGCAGGTATGTGAAACTTTTGCTGACAAAATCTGATTGTCAATTAGGATAGGATACAAAAAAATTGAAATGCCCGGAGGTACAAGTAAGATTTTAACTTGAAACATGTAGATAGCAAGCAAGTTATTCATAGAAAGACTATGCTGAACATGTATTCTCTTTACTCATACTCATTTCCTTTTTCGGTAGAGGAGGTAGATCTAAATAGAAAAGGATTATCAAAACTAGCATTCCTGATAATCCATGAAGACCATTGGACAGGTGTCATACCTGGCTTGATGATGCTGCTAGGTAAGATAATCATGAACATTGCAGAAACACAGAGAAGCAAGCTTCCAAGCAGTTCCAGTCGAAATCCCAACCACTCATTGGATCCATTGTTGTGGAAATCCATTCGCAGATTGGCATCAACTCGGTTAACGTTTTCTTGACTAAACATCTCCTGCTTCCTAAAGCAACGTATAGTCATAACACCTGAGATGCTTTCAGAGAAATGATGAATAACGGGTGCTTTTGTAATTGAGTCAAGCCGAGTCAATTCACGAGATGTTGCAAGATAATATCCCTGTAAACCAGAAATGAATTTAGTGTTATTTCGATTATGGTCTACATAATTAGCAGTTCTTATCTTTTCAAAGATATCAAATATGCCATATAAAGTGCTCCAATTGAATTACTTTAACAAATTATGTCTTCTATCTGCCAAAAGCTTTTTCTTGTGAATAAAAAAGTTGAAAATTCTAGTGCAACCAATGTAGATGTGAGCTTAGTATCTAGTCATCAAGAAACAGAACGCTAGCCTCACATCTTTTGATCAAAGTTGCAAATAATAACAAAAATTACTACAAGATACATGGCTAACCACGTTTCAAATAAAAAGTTTTAGCTGGACAAAACAAATTAAGAAGTTTCCCTTTTAATCAACATACCTTTCACGCAAAATGCTCAGAGAACTAATTGCCTCTAAAAGAAGGTTAAGAAATGGATTTGGATTTGAGTTCAAACAAGAAAAATACGAGACAGAGAGAGAGAAAAGGAATGCTCGTACCCGGTACCAAACATTTAGCCAGCCTAGAGGAATCAAAAGTAGTGTGGTTGGCCAAGAATATTGGCATGTGATGATGATGATGCCAAGCAGAGTG